TGACCTGATAATATTCCCTGCATGCTTGCACCAAAAATATAGTCTGGGCCATGTCAATTTCTGTGTTGAAGTAACAGGTGATATAGTCCCGCAGAGATGTAGAAGATAAGTGAACATAGAATTTAAACAGCTTTCTAATACACTGAGGTTATGGCCAACAATGCCACCTCCCACCCAACTAACCCTGCCACAAACACACTGCTTCAGACAACAGTACATCTCCTGCAAGAACTTCTCATGGTTTTATTGATTCATAGAAACTCAGTTTCAGAGCTTCTCTAGGGCTGACTTTAGGAGAGAGAGACAGAGATCATGCTGCATCTTCATCTCATGGGGGCCAAATAATCTGCCTTTTGGGTTTTTTTTTTTTCTGTTGTTGTTTTTTTTTGTTTTGTTTTTGTTTTTGAGACAGAGTTGTGCTCTGTTGCCTGGGCTGGAGTGCAGTGGTGGAATCTCGGCTCATTGCAAACTCCACCTCTTGGGTTCAAGCAATTCTCCTGCCTCAGCCTCCCAAGTAGCTGGGACTATAGGCACGTGCCACCATGCCCAGCTGATTTTTGTTTTTTTAGTAGAGACAGGGTTTTACCATGTTGGCTAGGCTGGTCTTAAACTCCTGACCTCAGGTGATCCCCCTGCCTTGGCCTCTCCAAGTGCTGGGATTACAGGGTAAGCCACCATGCCCAGTCTGCCTTCTGTTCTTATTATCTCATAAGTCTGTGTATGAAGAGAGAGTTTACTATCCTCCAAAATAGAAAGTCAAATCTTAAACCTAAGGCAGAGGTACCTTAAAACAAAAACAAAAAGAAAACAACAAACCCATGGGCCATGATGATTTCTAAAGGGCTAAAGAGTACCACTGAATTCAGGGAAAAAAAGAAGAAACAACTCTTGAAGGAAGGGGTCATGAAGGGAACTTCTTTACTTAGGTGGTTTGCACCTCCTGTTCCCTTCACCTGGAAGGAAGTTCCTTTCAGTGCATGGTTGCTCTTCACCATTTCCCTCTTGCCCTGACCTAATAGGTTAGCCCATGGTTCTAAGCTTAGATGTAACTTCAGAAAGAGCTTTCCTAAAACCCCAGTTAGCATTGTCTTCTGTTTATTTTTATTACCCTGTATTTTTTCCTACATGTATCATAGTTCTTAGTTATTTGTGCCTAATCGTTAAGAGTAAAGACTTGAGACAGGCAGCCTAAGTTTGACTCTTGTCTGTCATTTGGCAAATAATTTAATCTTCTATAATCAGTTTCTCTGACAATGGGTCATCAAGTAATCATGAGACCTGAGCTGCACATCATGAACTGGGTTTTCTGGGTCATGAAGCCACAGATTGGGTGTGTAAGATAGCAATCGGCCGCTAAGGAGAAGAGGCCAACAAGAGAACAGGCTGAAGCCAGCCAGGACAGCACAAGTTAGTCACATGAGCAGGTAGTTCTGCTCCATTGCCTCCTCTCTTCCATTACACATCTATGGCCTCTTAGATTTCTGTTTAATAACGAACTGCTTTGAGACAGGAGAAACTGGTGTTTACAAATGGGTATTCTGGCAACAAGTGGGAGATGGATTGCCCAAGCATTAAACTCCAATCAGGAGTGTCTCATCCATTTAGTCTGGACAGATCTACATTAATTTACAGCTAGTTGATAACAGCCTGGCTGGCATTAGGCCACTTCCATCATGGATAGAATTTATCCTCATTGGAGTAAACAGATATTTTGGATATAGATGTTCCTGTTAATAATGCTTCTGCCAGCACCATTAATTGCAGACTTAGGTAATGCTTTATTCTTCATCAAGGTGTTCTCAACACAGAATTATTTCCACCCAAGGAACTTGCTTCACCACAAAGAAGGATAGCAATGTGCTCATGCCCATGGAAATCATTTATCTTACCATGCACCCCATCATCAGAAGCAACCAACCTGATGGAATAATGGAATAACTGGTCCAATGAAATCTCAGTTTAACTACAAGTTGGGGGAAAACACTCTGAAAAGATTAGATTATATAGTAGAATGCAGTATATGCTCATAATCAGAACTGATATATACTTTTGCTTTTCCCATAGTCAGAGTACACAAGTCCAAGAATCAAGATGTAGAAATGGGAATAAATTATCCCATTCCTGCAACTTTGATTTTTGCTCATTCGGAAGTCTTAGTTACCAAGGGAGAAATGCTTCCACTAGGGAAAAAAACAATAGTTTAGTTGACTTGAATGCTAAGACCATTTTGGGTTCCTGATGCCTCCATGCCACCATATAAGCACAGAGGTTATTCTACAGGCTGAGAAAACTGATCCTGATTGTTAAGAGGGAATTGCATAGCTGTTGCACAATGAGGTGGGAATACAGGAGATTCTCTGAAATGCTACTTTATTCTTCCTGTCTAGTAACCGTAAATATAAAGCTCTGAAACTGAAAAAAATCCAGGCCATTGAAAATTTGAACCTTTCAAGAAGGAAGATTTTCATCATCCCATCAGATAGATAACGCTGACCCCATGAGGGTCTAGTTGAGGAAAACAAAATGTAGAATTGGTAGCAGAAGAAGGAAGTTATGAATATTGCCTGCAGCCTCATTAGCAGTTAAAAAAACACAAACACTGGATACCTAGGCATATCTTTTTCCTTTCTTGTCATATTTTCTTCTCATTTTCCTCTATCTCTTTATTATTCTACATAAAAATTATTGACAGTAGCTGACAGGTGGAATTGATTGGATTTCAAGAATACTTAACATTGCATGGAAATGAATATCTAGGATATTACTCTGAAATAGAGATGACTTTAGGACTCTGTGTCCTTATTTAGAGAAAAAGTAAAAGTGCCTTTACTTGTATGGTGGATAAACGCATCTCATTAGGCAAAAGCGTAAAGTTGTCTTTTTTGTTCAGTGGAGTTCAAAATCACATAAAAACGTGTGTACAGAGTTGAATGGCCAAAGGTGTGATTAAGCGGGTTATTAAATGATTGCCTCTCAGTTTTAACTTCACGTTTCTATACTCTGCTTTATGACGGTGGTCTTTGCAAGCTGGATCCTTGTTAAATTCTGCCAGTAGGGAGTGCTGGAGGGAGACGGGCAGGCTGGACAAGGGGAGCACTTTTCCCGTTTGCTTTCTCTTCTTCTTGACAGCTTTTCACCTGGGCAGTGGCAGTTGCCTTCAGAGCTACAGTTGGTTTTGTTCCATGGTTTTCCCCCTATATTTTCAGAACCAGCTTCCTGGTGCCCCAGAGATGCCAGCACCATCTGAACAGTACCTCTTCCCTAGAGGCCTGCATTTTATCTTCAGGGAGGCCCTTTGTTCCTGAGATGTTTGGGTCCCAGTTCAAAGGGATCCTTCTCTCACACTTTTAAATTAATTAATTATTTAACTAAGTAATTAAATTAATTAATTAGACCTTAGAAGTATGGACCTCCAACATTTTCCCTGTGTTTCTCTAGACCTACAGGTTTTAGCAGCTTCTTGCAATTTCTGTCTTTGTTAACTCAATATCTTCCTTTGGCTTTTTGTGTCCTCCACTACCTGGTTAACGATTCTTAAAGTCTCTGTAAAAATGACCGGTGATGTTTTTGTTTTCGACTGACCTACATGGGGAATAGTATGACTCTCAGGTTTGTGTGAAGAGTAAATGAGTCAGAAGATAAAAAGGGTTTATAACAGTGCCTCTCACACAGTAACTGTCATATAAGTGGAAGCTGTTACTATTATTTACTTAAGATCTGTGTCTCCCGTTAGCCTGAGCTCCGTGAGAATAGGGATTATGATGCTGTATACACACCAGGGTGTAGCGGTACCTGAAACATACTATGCTTTGAATACATGTTTGTTAAAGGAATTAGGAAGGGTTTGGAGGAGAGAGAAAGAAGAAAACACAATTTGGGTATAGAAGAAAGGTAGTGGCAGGCACAGTGGCTCACACCTGTAATCCCAGCACTTTGGGAGGCCGAGGCTGGCAGATCACGATGTCAGGAGATTGAGACCAGCATGGCCAACATGGTGAAACCCACTCTCTAGTAAAATACAAGAAAAATTAGCTGGGTATGGTGGTGGGCACCTGTAGTCCTATGTACTGGGGAGGCTGAGGCAGGAGAATTGCTTGAATCTGGGAGACAGAGGTTGCAGTGAACTGAGCTAGTGCCACTGTACTCCAGCCTGGTGACAAAGGGAGACTCCACCAAAAAAAAAAAATGGTAGCATTCTTTATTATTATATTTACAGAATGTAATATAATTCATCACTCTTTCCAGGCTTCATTCTACAAGTTTTGTTAGAAATCAGCCTCTACCCTTGGGAACATATTCAGTCAAACTGCCATATTTCTCCAGGGTGTTAGAGTTTTACAGAGTGGAAGCTCCAGTGTGTGTGAGACAGAGGTAGGGGTGGGAGAGGCATCTGGGGTCATGGGACATCTGTCCACACAAGTGGCTGATGAGATGTCTAGTGGCCAGACTAATGTGGCTTCCTCAGACCCCACAGTTCTCAGCTCCCTTCATGCCATGCTCCAGGCATGGGAATATTTGTGTTGTTGCTAGTGGTTCTGTCCTCTGGAAGTATCCTGAAGTATCCTGAAGCTGTTCCCTGTCGAGAGGTTGATGCCTCCTTGTGAGTTTGCCAGGGAAGCAGGATGCAGGCACTGTCTCTAGTCACCTGCTGTTATTCTCCAAACCGCAGCCCCAAACAAAGTCTGATTCTAAAAGGTAGACAGTCTTTCTCTGTTCATGGCTCTGGTGTAGCTTCCTTTCTGTGTCCAAATCTTCTCCTCACCCTGGGACCAGCATTCATGAACAAACTCCAAGAAGACTCGAGCCACTTCTTTTTATGTTGCCACTCCCCCTCCCTTCAGGCCACATTTATGTGCTTTCTTTGGAATGCGATAAGAATGATAACACAGAGAGGAAAAAAACGTGAAAAATATTAAAATATCCTGCCCCAGAAGGAAGGACAGGAGCAGGGGAGAGAGGAAGGGATTCTTTTTCAAAATTAAACTATCCTTTTCCTCCTTTTCTGAACAAATTGGTTATAAAGTGAAAGTGCTAGGGTTTGTAGCAACCTGCAGGATATGTTGATCTTGTTCTTGCTCTCAAGGTTATTTATTTACTTATTTTAAGGGGCAACACAGAGTAGAAAAGGAGAGGGATTTTTTTATTCATGTGCAAAAAGTGGAGACATGTGTTTGCAATCCTCTTCCGTAGCGTGTGTGTGTGCGTGTGTGTGTGTGTGTGTGTTTAGAAAGTCATTGTGAAGAGGCTGAGGCAACAACCTCACCCAGAAATTAGAGTCACAGAAGAACCACCAACTTCTAAAGGTCTTCATTGCAAAGGTCGTAGTCCCTGCAGCACTTGAAGTTCACAAAGTAGACACTCCACCTTATGCCTTTTACATCAGCACAGTTCTTTTGGCAGCCCATGAAGATTAAAAAGGGAGTACCGTCCCCTGTGGAAGGAAGAAAAAACAGATCAGAAAGCCTGGCCATGACACTTCTGCAAAAAACCTTTTCTTTAGACCACACCAACATATAAGAACAACCTTGTGTAATTCAAAGCTCCGTTATTCAAATGTAAAGAACTGGAAGATGTTGCAAGTTGGAGCTTCCCATAAGAAATGCAGTGACGGAGCCGCCTAAAATGATTATTGGGGGTAGGGCAGGTTAAGGAGAGCAGTAATTCAGGGATTGCCAAAGCTGGGTGTTTCTACGGAGAATCCGAACACTGGTTTAAGCGAGGGTTATAAATGCCAAGAGATCATTTAGCAGAAAGGGTGGAAAAAGAGAAATCATGATGTGTTGTCTTAACCACCCAGGGCAATTCAGCCAGAGTCTACTGATGACTCCGACCCTTCTGTTTCCGCAGATGAGGGAAGCCCAGGTAGGCACAAAGGCCAAAAGCCCCCTCCCCACCTCAACAACTCACTGTTACCCATTGGGCATAGATTATGCCTGTTCTCTCACCTCGATTTATTCTCCTCTGTTTTCTTCAGGCTTTTAAAAATACTAATTCTTTAGCTGTAGGGCCCCACCCTCCTTAGTGACCACCTCCATCTAATTTCCATTATGTTATATGACTGGGGTGAAAAAACAGGCGCCCAGGCGTGAGACTGCCTGCAGCGAAAGTAAAGTAAGACCCCCCATTTCTGCCATGGCCGATATGTCCCTGTCTACTTCCTCCACCCACTACTTACTTTTGGAAATCCTCCCAAACACGCAGGATTCTTCTGTGGTTGCTGTGCATATTCCTCTTCCTCTGGAGCACTTTTCTCCTGAGAACTGGAGGTGGCACATCCTACACTGAACAATAACTGTGCTTGGTAGAGAGTGGGGAAAGAGAAGTGAGAAAAGATGGCACTACCATGAAAGAACCCATCTCTCCTTTTGGATTAGAAGTCTGCCTAGAGCCAGAGGGCTTTGCCAGAGCCCATCAAGCGTGAACATCTGCCTCTATGAAAACACACTAGCCAAGAGAGTGGCTGGGGTTTATGGTCTCAGGAGTTTTAGCTTGAAAAATGGGAGGAGAAAGAAAGGTGGAGAAATAAGAAAAGGTGAAACATTATCAAGACTGAGATGATCAGACAGGTCCTCTTCATACTCACTAGAATAATTATCTTCGATGACAACTTCTTCATCGACTGTACTGGCAAAGAGAAATAAAACACATCTGAAATTTGTCTGAGATTTACTCTTGTACAGGGTCCTTATAATCTGCCCTTCGGGGTCCATCCTGCACTCTTAAACTGGAGCCATTCCAGACCCTTTCTGTCCCTCTAATGCCTAGTCACCTACTGGGCACCTCTGTACCTCTTCTCTCCTTGTAAATCTCTTCGCCTTTTTGGGGATTCTCCGATTCATCTACCCATTCCTACAGGATGAAGCACAGACCAGAAGGAGAAAGATAAATGCATATGGGTTTTTGCTTCATCCCCTTCTTTTTAATTGACCCTGGGTGGCACTCTTACCTGTGGGTGCCTGGAATCTGACAACGGGGACAATTACCTGAAATTCCTAAAGTTGCCATGCTTTAGACTTGGCCAAGTAACACCTGAAAAGCCAGCATTCCGCTTCCTCCTTTCTCTGTTCCTTGCCCTTCACTGACACTCCTGGCCTTGTTGGTCGAAGCTTACATTATTTTGTCAAACCTAAAATCAGCTCCCATCCCAGCTCTGTCCTGCTGGAAGAGGTTATTGAGTGTTGGAACTCAAGGTCTATTTCCATTTTGTTTTATTTTAGCCCCTGGTGCCCACCTCACCCCACTCGTCTTCCCTTCCTCAGACCTTCCCTTTCTCATATCACTTATCTATATCTACTCACCTGCAACATTTCTCTGTAAAAGTGATCCAGACAATGCTGTTGAAAAAAAAAATACACTGTCTACAGACCTCATTTTTCAAACCCATCTCAAAGCTTCTATGAAAATCCACTAAATTCCTCTCTAATCTGCCTATTTCCCCCATATAAAGGAAGGGAGAAGAGCTTTAGTTAATGTCGTGAGGACATGACATACCCAGGTAGAAGGTTCAGCATTAGAGCAGAAGCTCATCATGCCTCTGTTACCACAGCACTCCCATAAGAAGGCCTCTGTTGGGGTGCTCTCACCCGTTCCTAAATTCAGGACTCTCAGCTGTCAACCCTAGAAACTCACCCCTAAAGCAGCAGAGCAGGATGGGGAGTTCCAGCAGGATGGATTTGTCCATTTTGGAAAGAGGGAGGGCCAGGCTACAACAGGAAGCTTCAAGAGCGCCTATTTATACACCTGCAGGGTTGGGCTTCCCTGGGAAGGGTTAGGGGTGGAGACGCTGCGGAAGTTCTTGGAAGGCATACTTTGCTCCTAGGGAAATCAATGACTCTGTAATTTCTCTTCTTGGCAACTTGGAGCCAGAGGGAATGGCTAGGTTAATCCTGAACCTGATTTATTCCAGTTCTACCACTCAGGATTTTTGATGGCAGTTTCTATGGTCTTTTCACTGTACCATATTGTAAAAGAACATAAGGCTAAAGCTGGGCTGGATGTGTAGAATTGAGAGTCACCTACACGAAGACATGTATTAAAGCTGAGAGAATATATAAGTACAAATCATTGGAATGCAGAAAGGCAAAAAGAAGGCTGAACATAGACTAAAAATACATACCTCTAGGAGTGGAGAAGAGAGGACACAGAAAGGTTAGGCTCAGAGGCATACAGAGGGTTCCCATAAGGAGAGTATGAAAAAGATTTTTGGATTCACGATATTTTGGAGGTCATTACTACATGCCAAAAGATCAAACTGGCATTTTCATGCACAGAGGAAGAGAGCTACATACTAACTGCTGATCTGGCACTGACTACCCTGATGAAGTTTTAAAGTAACACCATGAAGTATTAATGTACTACATACGCACTTGTGCAGACATATGCACATGTGTACACACACACACACACATACACACACGATAGCACCGATTTTTTTGTTGTTCTGCATATTCAGTGGCAGAAGTCTTCCTTTCCTTCCTCTCGTTTCCCTGAAATTTAACATCTTCCCTTGCATCTTACACTCCTTTCTCTTGCCTTTTGAGATGTCCCCTTTTTTCCTTCTAGGAATCCCACAGTTATTTGCCTAATGGGACCCACGAGATTGGAGGAAATGTTCTCTTCCTCTGACCTGTCAGAAACTGTCTCCTTACATAATTACACTTCCATAATATTATTATGCCACTTCCCCTACAGCAGAAATTTCTTCCTCCCAGCCAATGATTTTTACTGATCCACCTGTATTCCTTGCTTATATTTGAACTCCTTTATTGACTCACTCCTAAAATCTCCTCAAATGTATGTATACTCCCTAGCCTTGTGGCCCTAATACCTGATTTTCCTACTGAGTCTCACTCTGCTCCTTTTCTTTGTGCCTCTAATCCTTTTACCTTTTTGCATTAAGGTAACCCCTCCATCACCAAATTCTGCTTATGTCATAAATTCCAGACCCATGCCCAAAAAGTATTCAGGAATCCCTTTCACCCTATTACTTTGAACCTTTGGAAGTTGTAAAGCCCTTTATTCACGATCCCCTCCTCTCCAACACAGAGTTCTGGAGATGCAATTAGTCCAGAAGAGTAAGCCCTGGCTTAGACCTCAACTCTGAGACTGATGAGGTGCTTAGTTATGTCTGTGTGTGTGTGATTAGAAGATGTTTAGATTATGGCCAAGAACTTTCAGTTTGCATCTCCAATATTATCATGCAAATCAATAAAAATGGTGATTTTTGAATGGAAATTCACCTTCCAATCATTTATTAATTTTAAAAGAAATAAAGTTACACTTCTCAGGGGCTACAGCAACATATCCTGAGGTTCATTAGTAACTGAGATGTTTTTACGTAATAATCATTTTGAATATGTTAACTGGGTTAGTGGTGAGTACCAGGATTTGAGGAAAGAGATCTCAGTTTAGGTGGACCCTTCCTATGAGGAGGAGGGTAAACCAGATGAACCACAGTTACTGTTTCACTGTAGCACCAGCGGCCAGACTCCTGGAGTTTCCCCAAAACCATAGGACTTACACTAGTAGTGTGTGGAGAGGGGACAGTTCTCTGTCAGGGTTGAAAGGAACGGTCAGATCAGAATAGTCTGCCCCTTTTCCCTCAGGCAAGTGAAGAGCATAGCTCTAGCTGACTCAAACTAGATGAAATCAGAGTCAATCTATCCTCTTGAGGGACATGAAAAATGGAGGAAATATTCAGACAATATGGGCAGATCCAAGAAAGAGCTTCTGCCTTTATGACTCTGGGGAGCCTTTCTGTGTGCGTTCTTTGCTACCATGAATCTTTCCATCTCTTAAGAGTTTCTGCGAATCTCAGAATCTCTCAGTATGTTGACAATTCCCCAGGTAATTTCTCTCTATTGTACCGAGGGTTGGAGAACATACCCTGGACATTGAAGTGACAGGAAGGTAGGTCTGGGACTCAAGAGTGAAGCAGTCAATAATTTATTTATTGTTCCTATTGTAGCTTGCAGATTAAATAAAAAGTTCCAGATGTTATTATTTTGTACCAACAAACCTAGCTATCCTCCTGAGAATTCAGCTATGGAGAAATTAGGGACTCCTTCCCTACTTTGCATGGTAAATTCACAAGTACATGAAGGCCATTCCCAGAGACCTCTTCTCAAACTGCCAGGGCACCCAAGGAGGCACGTAGCTGCCAATATTGCTGAGCTTACTACATACTTGTCAAGTGTCTTTCTCTAGATCTGTCTGTGTTCAGAGGCTGTCCTTGGCCAGTTTGTCCAAGAAGTTTCTCCCTTGTTATTTCCTCTGTGTGTGTGTGTGTGTGTGTGTGTGTGTGTGTGTGTGTGTGTGTGTATGCACACACATAGGTGGTGTGAGATTTTTATACTGGTGAAATATTCACATACTAGAAAAGGTGTAAGATTTAAATTAATATTTTAAACTATTTTAATGCAAAGTGTGTAATTATAAACCATGTCAGAAAGTAGGAATATTGCTCAAACCACAGAAAACTCCCCATGCCAAGGGATCCTTTCTAAATACATTCTTTTTCCTCATCTGGTGGGAAACACTGTTCTTTCTTTTATGAATTCTCACCATTGTTTTCTTTGTAGTTTTAGTTTTATAGTGCAAAACTAAAACTGCACTATAGTTTTGCCTATTTTATTGTTTTTTATTTTTGAGATGGAGTCTCGCTGTCTTGCTCAGGCTGGAGTGCAGTGGCATGATCTTGGCTTACTGCAACCTCCACCGCCAGGGTTCAAGCAATTCTCCTGCCCCAGCCCCCGCTCCCCTCCCCCACCACCACCAGTAGCTGGATTACAGGTGCACACCACCATGTCTGGCTAATTTTTGTATTTTTCGTAGAGATAGGATTTTGCCATGTTGGTCAGGTTGGTCTCAAACTCCTTACCTCAGGGGATCCACCCACTTCGGCCTCCCAAAGTGCTAGAATTACAGGCATGAGCCACCACACCTGGCCACCTGTTTTAAATATTGATGTAAATAGAATCATACGGTATGCATTCTAGGAATTATTCATGTTTTTGTATAAAGCTTTACTTTTTTGCAATATATTATGGTATTTAGTTATATAAATATTATGGTGGAGAACTTTCCAGTACTAATGGAAAACATCAGCCCAGAGATTCAAGAAACCCAAAATGCTATAAGCAAGAGGAACAAAAAATGCAGCATGATAGTGAAATTTCAGAAGGTCAAAGAAAATAATAAAATGTTAAAATCAACCAGAGGACAAAGGACATAATACATTCCAAAGAACATGAGACTGACGGCTGACTTCTCAATGAGAAGGAGGCTAGATATTATGAGATGATATCTTTAATACACCAATATAGAAATGTATATCCAGAGGAAATTTCTTCTGAATTAAAATGAAATAAACACATCATTAAGCAATAACAATGCCATTAACAGACTTGCAATTGTTGGGACTGAGCACTATCAATAAATAATTGTTAAATTGAATTGATATGTTAGTTTGAATTAATCAAGGCTGGAGGACAAATGTATCCATTCAAGAACTACTGTAGAGAAGAAAGAAAATATTTCCAGTGTGATCTTCTTTGGTTCCTCAGGCCCACAGAGTCCCCACACTGCAGACCTCCTTAGTGCTTCGCTCTGGAGTTCACCAAGCTCAAACTCCAAAATTCGCCTCCATAATCAATCTTCCTGAATGTATAAGCATTAGTCCAGCTGTTCAGCTAGAATCCCGAGGAACACAGATATGTTATCTTTGGGCCAGCAGTACCCTTGGTACCTAAGAGGTTTGTAAGAAAAATCACCCAGAGATATCAAGGATGATGTACAAATTCAGTGCCAAATTCTACTAAGAGATCAATTCAAGGGAAGCCTGGAAGGTGACAATATGATAGAGCACATAGAGGTCATTCATGTCCACAGTGAAGGAGAGAAGGGGAAGTCAGATGTAAGGGAATAAAGAGTGACTTGTCTAGCAAAAAAGTTAGAAAATAAAGTTCTGAAAAGCATAAAGTGTAAAATAGATGAATTAGCTAGGAATCAATCTAATGCAAGCTGTACAACTTCTCTAAGAAGAAAATAACATAATTTTAAAAAGCTAAGATAAAAAAATCAATCAAGTTATTACAGAAACTTTTATTTTGAAATAATTTATAAATCACAAGAAGTTGCAAAAAATAGCTTCTATGTACTTTTTACCCAGCTTTCCCAATGATAACATCTTCAATAACCAATACATTTTCTAAACCAAGAAATAGACATTGGTACAATACTATTAATATTAACTATTAACTTATGGACCTTATTTGAGTTTCTTCAGTTTTTACATATACTTTTTTGGCATATATTACTATGAAATTTTATCAATTGTGTAGGTTTGTGTAAAATCACCAAAGCAGGATACATAACTGTCCATCACCACAAAGAAATTCCCTTGTGTCCCCTGTCCCTGCTTTATGGCAGACTTTCCCTAACTCTATCAGCCTGACTTAGCCTGATAAGCACTGATTAGTTTGCCATCACTATAATTTTGTCATTTAAAGAGTGTTACATAAAGGGAATCATTTAGTATGCAATCCTTTGGAAGTGGATTTTTTTCATTTGGTATAATAGCCTTGAGGGCCATCCAATTTTTGCAAGTATCAATAGCTAACTCTTTTTTATTGCTGAATAGTATTCCATTGTATGGATGTACACAGTTTATCCTTTCACCCT